GCCCAAGTAACTTATATTGTTTCGGCTTTAAAAGGAAAAGCCCTCAGATGGGCTCAAGCGTTTCTGTCTGCACATTCCTCTGACACCCTCACCTCTCAGCTTTTCATTCAAGAATTCCAGCGTGTGTTTGACCATCCCCTCCAGCAGGAGGCAGCGAAGCAGCTAATCAATCTCCGACAAGGTAATAAGTCAGCAGCTGAACACTCAGTGGATTTTCGAATTGTTGCCGAGGAGGCAGGCTGGGAGGAACTCGCGTTAAAAGGTATTTATGTAAATTCCTTGTCGGAGCAACTAAAGTATTAATTGGCTTCCCGGGATGAACTCGGAAGCCTGGATGAATTAATCGCCGTGTCTATTCATATTGATAACAGACTGAAAGAACGAAAGAAGGAGAGGAACTACATTTCCCAGAATCCCCGGGTCCCCACTCCCCTCATCAGTGGTGAGTTTCCGCCTTCTAATGCCACAGCTGCTGCTAATTCCACTGAACCCATGCAAATTGGATGCACACGGCTGACTCCAGAGGAAAGACAGAGACGGTTTGCGGCTAAACTTTGTATTTACTGTGGCAACAAGGGACATTTCGTCACCACTTGTCTGCTGCGGGGAAATGGCCAGTCTCGTCAGTAGAACAGGGGAAGCTGACGAGACAGGACAATATCTCCCCTAACTCTTTGTTTTTCCTTCCCGCTACGGTAGTTAGTGGGCAAACCAAGCTACCAATTTCGGCCCTTGTGGACTCAAGTGCTGAACAGAACTTAATCTCAAGTGACCTAGTGGAACAACTGGAAATCCCCACATCTCCACTCGATCCTCCTCGCTCTATTGCCGGCGTCACAGGACAGCTCCTATCCCAGGTCAACAGATTCGTCCCCAGTCTGCATGTGATTGTGTCGGGAAACCACCATGACTTGGGTGTGTTTGTAGTTTTTGATTCTACTTCTTCACAAATTATTTTTGGTTTTCTGTGGCTGTCCCTGCATAAACCAGTTATCAATTGGAAGGAAAAGAGGGTCGAGAACTGGAGTACTTTTTGCTTACAACACTGTTTAAAGTCGGCTGTATCAGTCTCCGTTAAAAGGGAGGAACCTGTTGAAGAGGCAGATTTGTCCTCTATACCTGAAGTTTATCATGATTTGGCATCTGTTTTCAGTAAAAGTAAGGCACTTTCTTTACCTCCCCATAGACCATACGACTGCGCCATAGATTTAATACCTGATTCAGTACTTCCTTCCAGTCGCCTCTATAATCTCTCCGGTCCCGAAAAAGAGGCCATGAAAACTTACATAGACGAATCCTTAGCTTCTGGTATCATCCGCCCCTCCGAATCTCCCCTAGGGGCAGGATTTTTCTTTGTTGCCAAGAAGGATAAGACTCTCAGACCCTGCATTGACTACCGAGGACTCAACCAAATTACAGTTAAAAACAAGTACCCTTTGCCCCTGTTAGATTCCATTCACAACCAGCTCCACACAGCCACCATCTTCACCAAACTGGACCTCCGTAATGCCTACCACCTTGTGCGGATAAAAGAAGGAGATGAGTGGAAGACAGCATTTAAGACCGCTTTAGGTCACTTTGAGTACCTGGTCATGCCCTTTGGGTTAACCAACGCCCCAGCAGTGTTTCAAGCTTTAATCAACAATGTACTCCGTGACCTCTTGAATGTTTGTGTATTCGTTTATTTGGATGACATACTCATTTTTCCCGTGATATCCAGCAACACCAATTACATGTCAGAACGGTCCTCCAGAGACTTCAAGAAAACCAGCTCTACGTGAAAGCTGAAAAATGCGAGTTTCATGTATCATCTGTGTCCTTTTTAGGGTTCATTTTGGAGAAGGGTCAGTTCAGGACAGACCCTGAAAAGGTTCGGGCAGTTTCAGAGTGGCCAGTTCCAAACGATCGTAAACAGTTACGTTTTCTTGGTTTTGCAAACTTTTACAGACGATTCATCAGGGACTACAGTTGTATCGCCGCACCTCTCACCCAACTTACTTCCACATTAAGAACCTTCTCCTGGACTCCCGAGGCCAACCACGCTTTGGGTGAGTTGAAAGCTCATTTCTCTCAAGCCCCCATTTTGTGCCATCATGACCCACATAAACAGTTTTTTGTAGAAGTGGATGCTTGTGACCTGGGAGTCGGTGCTGTTTTGTCTCAAAAATCGGAGTCAGATGGTAAAWTGCACCCTTGTGCCTTTTTTTCTCATCGCTTATCACCAGCCGAGATTAACTATGATGTCGGAAACAGAGAACTGTTGGCCATTAAACTGGCTTTAGAAGAATGGAGGCATTGGTTAGAAGGGACTGAGATCCCTTTCATCATCCTCACCGATCATAAAAATCTGGCCTATCTCCAAAAGGCCRAGAGGTTAAACCCGAGACAGGCCAGGTGGTCTTTGTTTTTTGCCCGTTTTAACTTCACTATCACTTACAGTACATCCCTGGTTCCAGAAAATTCAAATCCGACGCTCTCTCCAGACAGTTCTCCTCTGCTGATAAAACAGAAAAAGACACTAACATCTTGCCTACCTCCTGCTTCGTGGGGACTCTCTCCTGGGACATCGAGAACACAATCCACCTGGCTCAACAGTCTGAACCCGATCCCGGCTCTGGACCTCCTGGCACCCGATTCATTCCTAAGAACATTGTGGGTAAAGTACTGGATTGGACTCAATCACAGATTTACTTGTCATCCCGGCATATCTCGCATGTTGTCATTTTCTAAGAGATTCTTTAGGTGGCCAACAATGTATCAAGACATAAAAGAGTTTGTTGCAGCATGCCCCACCTGTGCTCGAAACAAGAGTGGAAACCAACAGCCCGCCGGACTCTTGCAACCATTACCCACTCCTGCTCGGCCTTGGTCTCACATCGCTCTGGACTTCGTCACTGGACTGCCCCCTCGGAAGGTAACACAGTCATACTAATCATTGTTGACCGCTTCTCCAAGGCAGCACATTTTGTCCCCTTGAGTAAATTACCCACGGCATTCGAGACCGCTCAGCTCCTTGTCACTCACGTTTTTAGTCTGCATGGTAACCCCACCGACATCGTTTCTGACCGAGGACCCCAGTTTGTGTCTCATGTCTGGAAGGCCTTCTGTAATGCCCTAGGTGCTAAGGTCAGTCTTTCTTCTGGACATCACCCTCAATCTAACGGGCAAACGGAGAGGTGACTCTCAGGTGCGTCATAAATAACAATCCCTCCTCATGGTGTCAACATCTTGCCTGGGTTGAGTATGCACACAACTGTCACACCTCTTCCGCTACTGGTTACTCCCCTTTTGAGGCCTCCCTTGGGTATAACCCTCTACTATTTCCCAGGGACGAGGTTGAAAATATGGTCCCGTCCGTCCACCACCACATCCAACGCTGTGGAAGAATCTGGAGCCAGACTCAAAGAGCCCTTCTTCGTACAGCACAACAAAACAAGAAGTTTGCTGACCTCCATCGTTCCGCCGCCCCTTCATATCAAGTCGGACAAGAGGCACGACTATCTACACGTGACATAAACCTTAAGGATTTTCCTAGAAAGCTCTCCCCCAGGTTCATCAGTCCCTTTCCAGTGGAGAAGATCATTAATCCCACAGCTGTCAGACTTAGTTTACCTACCACCATGAAGATACACCCCACCTTCCACGTCTCCCAACTGAAACCCGTCTCCACTAGTCCATTGAGCCCGCCAACCGACACCCCACCTCCCACCCATC